TGGTGATATTAGTGTACAAATTAGTACAGGCTGCATGTTGACTTTAAGGGATGTCAGACACATTCCAGATATGAGAATGAACTTGCTTGCTATTAATGTCCTTGATAAGGAGGGATATGAAAGCCGACAAAAGAATGGACAGTGGAAGCTTCTCAAAGGATCTATGGTAGTTGCAAGGAGAAAACTATGCTGCACAATGTATAAGACATGGATGCAATTGAACGATAATCAGGTAAATACCGTTGAAAATGATGCTTCAGCAAACTTGTGGCACAGGAGGCTGGCACACATGAGTGAAAAAGGGTTACAGGTTTTGGCAAGGCACTCTCTCATTCCCTTGACCAAAGGTATGTCTCTCGATTCATGTGATTATTGTTTGTTTGGTAAGCATCATAGAGTTTCTTTTCGTAAAAGTTCTCAGAGAAAAGAAAATAGATTGGAATTAATTTATTCTGACGTATGTGGTCCCATTGAGGTTGAGTCATTAGGTGGTAATAGATATTTTGTTACTTTTATTGATGGTGCTTCACGTAAGACTTGGGTGTATATGTTGAAATATAAAAGTCAGGTACTGCAGTATTTTCAAAAATTTCATGCCATGGTTGAAAGGATGACAGGGTTACCCTTGAAGTGTATTCGAACTGATAATGGTGGGGAATACACATCTAAAGGCTTTGAAGAGTATTGCTCAAAGCATGGGATCAGGCATGAGAGGACAGAACCTGGAACACCGCAGCATAATGGTATAGCTGAAAGAATAAATCGCACCATTGTGGAAAAAGTCAGATGTATGTTGAGGATGGCAAAATTACCAAAGCCATTCTGGGGTGAAGCAGTCAACACAGCTTGTTATTTACTTAACAGGTCACCATCAGTTCCTTTGGGCTTTGACATTCCAGAAAGAGTGTGGACAGGGAAAGATGCTTCATACTCTCACTTGAAAGTTTTTGGGTGTAAAGCATTCATGCATGTACCAAAAGAGCAGAGGTCAAAGCTTGATAGTAAAGCTACACAGTGTGTGTTTGTAGGATATGGTGATGAAGAATTTGGTTACAGGGTATGAGATCCAGTAAAGAGAAAGACAATCAGAAGCAGGGATGTGGTCTTTCATGAAAAAGAAACCATAGCAGACCTTGAGAAAAATGAGAAGACTACACGAGTTACTGTTGAGTGTGATGTTTCAACACCGACAGGGATTTCACAGGAAAGAGCCACAGATGGTGAAAATGAGCCAGAAACAGAACTTGGGGATATGGATGAGCCAGCTACAGTTGGTGATGAGCCAGATGCTATTAGTTTTGAGCAGGGGGAGCAATCCTCTCTACCTGAGAGTGTTGAGCAGGGGGAGCTACCTTCGGCATCAAGTGATGTAGAGTCTCAGCCTAGGAGATCTACTAGAGAGCGCAGGCCATCTACCAGGTATCCAAGTTCAGATTTTATTTTAGTTACCAGTGAAGGGGAGCCAGAAAGCTTTCAAGATGTGCAGGTTACTCCGAATAGAGAGCACTGGTTAAGAGCAATGAAAGAAGAGATGGAGTCATTGCGAAAGAATGGTACTTATGATCTTGTTAAACTTCCAACAGGGAAGAGGCCATTAAAGAATAAATGGGTGTTCAAGTTGAAAAAGGATGGTGACAAACTAGTGAGGTACAAAGCTCGATTGGTAGTAAAAGGTTTTTCTCAGAAACCAGGCATCGATTTTGATGAGATTTTTGCTCCAGTTGTAAAAATGAGTTCTATTTGAGTGGTACTGGGTTTGGCAGCTAGTTTGAATCTTGAACTTGAGCAACTTGATGTTAAAACTGCATTTTTGCATGGTGATTTGCAGGAGGACATTTATATGAATCAGCCTGAGGGTTTTGAAGTGAAAGGGAAAGAGCACTTAGTTTGCAAATTGAAGAAAAGCTTGTATAGCTTGAAACAAGCTCCACGACAGTGGTACAAGAAGTTTGATTCTTTTATGGTGAGTCATAGCTATAAAAAAATAGCAGCGGATTCTTGTGTGTATGTTAAACAATTCCCTAATGGTAACTTCATTATCCTATTATTATATGTTGATGATATATTGATTGTAGGACAAGATGCTAGTATGGTTTGCAGGTTGAAAGAACAATTGTCTAAGTCCTTTGATATGAAGGATTTAGGTCCAGCAAAGCAGATTCTTGGTATGGACATTATCCGAGATAGGAGAGCTGGAAAGCTGTGGTTGTCACAGGAAAAGTATGTTGAACGAGTGCTTGGTAGATTCAACATGCAACATGCTAAATCAGTTAGCAGTTCACTTGCCAACCATTTTCATCTAAGTAAGAAATCTTGTCCAGTGTCTAAGGAAGAGCAACTAGCTATGTCTAGTATTCCTTATTCTTCTGCAGTCAGTTCTTTAATGTATCTTATGGTTTGTACAAGGCCTGACATTGCTCATGCAGTTGGTGTAGTGAGCAGATTTCTTTCTAATCCAGGGAAGGTTCGCTGGGAAGCAATAAAATGGATTTTTAGATATTTGAGGGGTACCTCAAAAATGTGTTTGACTTATGGAGTTTCACAACCAATTCTAGAAGGGTTTACTGATGCTGACATGGCAGGCGATCTTGATGGTAGGAAATCTACTTCAGGGTATTTGTTCACTTTTGCAGGAGGAGCTGTATCTTGGCAGTCTAAGTTGCAGAAGTGTGTTGCTTTGTCAACTACAGAAGCTGAGTATATTGCAGCAACTGAAGCATGTAAAGAAATGCTTTGGATGAAACGTTTTCTTTTTGAATTGGGGTTGAATCAGAAAGAGTATGTGGTATTTTGTGATAGCCAGAGTGCTTTAGATTTGAGTAAGAATACCATGTACCATGCTAGAACAAAGCACATTGATGTTAGATATCATTGGTTATGTTCAGTGATTGAAGAACAGCAGATGCTATTGAAGAAAGTCCATACTGATAAAAATGTGGCAGATATGTTGACTAAGATACTTCCCAGGGAAAAGCTTGAGCTTTGCAGTAACTTGACCGGAATGAGTTCCCTGGCCAAGGTAAGTTCCAAATGAAATTGCTATGGTGATGAATCTCCTTCTAATGGGACTAGAGGGGGAGATTGTTAGGAAAATGAGGTCCAGTCCCATGTAAGTGGTTTTGGACTAAGTAAAGGCCATGGGCCTTGATCTTTTATTTTACACAGAGCCCTAACTACTTAATAAAAAAGAGGTGGGGTTGTTTAAGGTGTGTGTCGACAACCAAGCAGAGAAAGAAGAAAAGCCAGGAAAAGCAGAGAGAGAAAAAAGAGAAGGGAGAGTTGGTTAAACGGAAGTCGATCCGTGGTCCGATTGAGTTGGAACCTTGTCAGGAGGTTTATGATTCAGAGTTATACATTCTGAACGGTGAAGATCGGGTTTGAAGCTCTCTAGGAACAAATCCAGGGTGTATTTGTTGAGTCACTTATTTGGTGAGATTTCTCCAATTGTTTCTCTAGTTGTTGATTAGCTCTAGTTTTAGCTAGAGAAGAACTTTGTATAACTATTATTTGATAGTGAAGATTTTTCTGGTGGCCCGTGGTTTTTCCCTCTACACTGGAGGGTTTTCCACGTAAATCTTGGTGTGCTTTATTTTTCCTGCGCATTTGATTATTGATTGTTGTCTATTGCTTCTGTATTGTTGTGATTATTGCTTCAGGCGCAACAACTCTTTCTCTTTTTAATTGTTCAGCCTCCATCTGCAGCCACCCAAAACCAACATTCCAACACCTCGTAAACAGGCCTACGGTCGACTTTTGAGCCCAGCAGAGCTATTGTTACCAGGCTAGAGGCAGAAGCACCCCAGGAAAGCCGAAAACAAAAATCTCCTCCTTTGTTTGTCTCCAGTTGCTGCCCCTAAATAGTAGAAAGAATGTTTTAGATTGTTTCTATAAAAGAATGTTTTAAAAATTGTTTCTTTGCTGACTTTATTTCTTGGATTTATCTTTATCAATGATGAAAAGGAAGAAAAGAAAGGTGCGCTTGTTTTAGCTGCTCATAAAATATTACAACACTAATTTTGCTAGATTTTATTTCAAGACTAATGTCTAATTGTATACATTTGTTTGTCGAATGTGGGTGGAATTATGAGTGTTCGTGGTGGATTTCTCCTTTCTAACTTGATAATAATTTCCCTTTTCTGATTTGGAAATGGGAAAATGGAATTATAGTGGTCTAAATGGTGGTAGAAGGCAGAACAGATGGTAGCAGATCTTATTTTCAGGTTAGATCTAGGATAATTTAGAAAGTTTTAGGAGGAAATGAGCCAAAAAAAAAAGAATGAGGAGGCTGAAATTAGCAAACAATTAAATTCTGATGAAGATCACATGCCAACAAGAAACGATTGATGGCAGAGAGAGCAACCATATTCCAAAATTGAGCTTTGAATGGTGGCTGGCCAGTGTTGAAATTCTTTAGAGAGAAAGAGAGAGAGGAAGGGAGAGAAAAGAAATGAAAATAATAATAATAATAATTTAGGCTTAGCTTATGTGACAGTTTATGTGGCATATGACGTGGCAACCACATCATTTTTCTGTTAGTAACTTGGATAAAAAAGTTAGGTGATTATATTTGTCTTATTTAGTAATTTTTAATGATTTTGTTAGTATAAATTAAAGTTGAGTGATTCAGATAAAAGTGAAGATATAGTTTGGTAATTCATCGATATTCCGTTTGTAATCCAGCGATATTTCGTTGATAATCCATCGGTAATTGATTGATAATCAATCAATAAAGGTTGATTTTCATCAGTAAATTCGTCAATATTTCGTTAGTATTCCATCGACATTCCATCAGTATTTTGTAGGCAATTTTTTGTTTTTGTCACTAGAAGTAAAAGTTCTGTCAGTAAAATCAGTCAATAAAATCTAAAATTTATCTATAATTTGATTAATTCCATCATAATTATTTAAGAAATCATTAAATTAAAAAAACATTTGTAATTATTTTAAAAGCTTATTATTTATATATTATTTATTTAATGATCAAATCCACATCATAAAGTTTATATCCACATAAATTCTAGAACAATCCAAATTATAAAGTTAAAATCTATAAAATATAGTACTGAAATCCATAAATTCCATAATACAAGTCCTGAATAATATAGTATTGAATTTCATCAATTACATCATCTGATCTATGAAAGACCTAAGCTCAACCCTCAGCAAAAATTATCATCATCTTCGTGTATGTTGATTTTGCCATTGTTATTGAAGACTTTGATTGCTTGAATACAAATGAAATATTATAGTACTACTTCCCTCTGCCCATCTGCCTTTTAGTATCAATAGCAGTTCAGAACAGACAAGCTAATAACATCTCACCTTTGTGGCATTTTTTGGCTGGTATTTATCAGTCCATAAGCTATTATCAAGCTGGATGCTGCAGTCACGGTGACATGGCGCAAATCTGCAACCAGTAACATAATGAAAGGGATCTTGCTTAGCATAATGGCAAACTTACGTACGCAAAGGCAGAATCCATAGTAGCAATTAGCATTTTTTTTAGTATAAATAAACTAAATTATTATTAGTATGGCTGATGATTGCAGGAGTTAGCAACATTCACCTTGACCAGAAAACCAAGGCTTCAACAAGTTAATGGGTACTAACTGGACTAGTTCGATTTGGTTAGCAAGTTTCGTCATGATTAAGGTGGAAATCCTATTTCTAACATAAATCTATTCTGCAATCTATGAATTAAATAGTTTCAGAAACTACAGTAGCAAACGAGATTCCTTTAGTGCATACATAAAGTATTTGTAATAACAGATATATTAAGATAATCCTAAATCAACATATCAGAAAAGGAAGTTTAAAACAATGGCACAAATGTTTTAATTCACAAAACTCCAACCATTCTTTAAGTAGTCTACTTCGTTGTTCAGACTCTGAATTTTCCACATTATCAGCCTGCATGCAAAGGACAACTACTTAACCGTCATGGCAATAACAAAATTATAGTGACAAATAAATCAAAGAACATTTAAAGTTACAATTAATCTTAAAAATCCTAATAAAAATTAACTATTAATTAAAAAAAAAAAAAACAAAATACACGGAAGCCACAGATTCTGCAAAGCAAAGCAAAATAACAAAGAAGCCGACGGGCTATACCTGTTGAAAGAGCCAACGCCAGACGACGGACGACATCATCGGACGAGGAAAGGAACCAACCGGACTACTGACGACGATCGACAGCACCGTAAAAGACGATCAAAGGCGTGGCGGTGAGGGGAGAATGGCAGAGATAAGTGGGGGAGAGAACGGTGAAAAGGGGGGTTTAGGGATTTCAACGCAGGGTAGAAAATAAGAAGGGATTTAAGGATTTCATTTTTATCCACCTTACCGATAGAAATTCTATCAGTAAATTAATTCCTTTTTTTCGAAATTTGAATTAATTTAATTTTTTTCATAATAATTTATCAATGTAATAATCTGTCTGTATTTACTTTACTGATAGATTATTCTATCAGTGTTTCTCGCACTAAATTTTTTTCTCACCAATAATTTATCAATGAAATACCGATCAAATAATTTTCGTCAATAATTTTTTTTTTATATTCTGACAGTAAATATTGAATTAATTTATAACTATTTTCTGTCAATAATTCATTAGTGATTCATTAAGAATTATTGACAAAATTTTTTTCATGAGCAAATTTTTGATAGTGTTAATCATCTTAATATTCTTGATAAAAAAAATTTGTCAAATGACTGAACGAGACTCATGCAATTTTTTTATCAATCAAAATCGTAATTTCATTGAAAAAAATCTTTTAGATTCTTTGTCAAAAAGATATTAAAATGACAATTAATTTTTTATATATATGTAGAATTTAATATTTTTAACTTTTATGTAAATGATTTTACTATATATAAATAAAATGAAAATCACTAGATTGATCGAAATTTAAAGACCAAATTATGTAAAAAAAATTAAAAATTCATTCTTATGTACAAGCATTGAATTGTTTCCTGATTTGCAATGACTTGCATATACTATGAGAGAAATTGTTGACATGTTTCATGTTGCAAATATTTCACCACCATCCAAATCCATTTCAAAACAGTTCTCAGATGTAAGCCATTGTTCCTAAGGCCATAGCCTCCCACTTTTAGAAAGTTGGCCCAGCGATGGCAAAGTCTTTGCAATATTTTGCTAGAAATAACATGGGCGTAGGCACTTGGAGAAAGCTGCTATTTCATTGTTGCTAAGGCCACTAGCTAGATCTTCGGGAAGGTCTTGGAATGGTTATTATTTTCATAAGTAATGCTTTCAGTGTTAGCAGTTTCATTGGAATGGTTATGATTCAAATTAAAAGAATCAGGTTATAATAGACTGTATAAAACAGGGAATAGATGACATACCACCTTCAAATAAACTACACCATATTTTCCATTGGAAAGAAAGAATCTGTAAGGCAAATAAAATGGCAGATGCTTAACAGCTTCTTTAAAGAGTTCAATTGCCAATCCAGTGAAATAAGTTTCATTTTTCAAATCATATTCTGTTTCCTCTTTCGGTTTAAAACCAAAAGAAATTATATCTTTTTTATGATATAATAAAACAATTGGCTACATAATATGAAAAATAATCTATGCAAATTCCATGAGTTCCATCAGAATTATTATTAAACAATTGACAATTAAAGTTCAAGCTCAAATTTGCAGATAAAACCAATAATGAGTCTGAAATATTTCCTCTTCACTATAGTGAGTGAGATTTTCTACAAATAATTTCTGCAGTTTACAAGAATGCCAAAAAAAAAAAAAGAAAGAAAAAGAAATTTTTAAGAGGTTGCACATCTGCAGCTAGAAAACAGCTGATTGTCTGACCAAGCCATGGTATGTTTCTGCCAAAGCATCTTGAAGAAATCTTCTTTGCGGTGCCAATAATGTCGGGTCAGGAAAGAGGAAATGATGACAGAGTAGCCTATAAGCAGTCCAGTGTTCACAGGGATCCCCATCAAGAAATCTTTCCCTGACTTTGACAAGAAGTCCCTTGTCAATGCAATGGCACCGCCAGGTCTTTCAGGTTTTTTGACAGAATCCCGTGGTGGTTTTCCAGTCATCATCTCGACACCAACGCATCCTAACTACCATAGGTTCTAAGAAGCAGTGATGCTTGCCATTTGTTTCATATTAAGTAAGCAATAAGAGAGAATAAAAAGCAAATCTTTATCTTGTAATCTTTTCGTTCTTTTTTTTTTTTTTTTTTTTAGACCTTGTTTGGGTTTGTTGTCTTTGAGCTTGTCTGGGCTTGTTTTCCTTTCTCAAAATTGTTTATGCTTCTTTGTAAAATTTGTTATCATTTTTACCTTATTTAGATTTGATTTTAAATTTGGTTAAAGGTATAATTGAATCAAATCGAATTGTCATATTGAGAAGTTTGAGTTCTAGCTCGACTTGAAATTTGGTTTAAACTTGATCAAATTATAATTTTTAAATTCGAGTTCGATTTAAAATTAAAATCAAGTTATTTGAACTCGTTTTATGGATTTGCTTAATAAAAATAGCTTGATTCTCATGCCTAATTTCAAATTTAATTATATGTTCGAATTAGTTTGAATGGATATATATAAAAATAAAATAATAATTTTTTAATTAAAAAAATAAAAAAAATTAAAATATAAAAGTTCAATTAAATTCACGAATTACTCAAATCATGTATTAAATTGTTTGAACTCAACTTACTTTATAAGTTAAGCTCGAATCGACAATGAATAAGTTGAATTCAAACTTTATCCGAATAAAACTCAAGTAACATGCAAAAATTGGGGTATCATTTACACCTTATCTACAATGAGAAACACATGAAAATTTAGTAAATTTTAAAGCTGACCATTAGATTATTTTATAGCCTTTGGATTACTTTCTATCCAAAAGTCATTGCGTCATTATAAATCCTAATAGGTCTAGTAAATCCATAACTTGTCAATGCTTTGTTCCCTAAGTAATCACGTAAAGTTGTTTACCCCTGTAGCTCATTGTAAGAATTAAATACTTGTTAAGTTCATTACTTACCTATTACTTAACTTTTATGGTATGTTTAGTTCGTAGAATTTTAAATTTTAAGAGGAAGAGTGATTTTTTGGGAAGTGTGGATTCCTAACAATGAATGATTATTTCTGTCATGAGAATGTTATATTCTTGTATATTCGCGAAATCTCAAATTACGTAATAAAGGTTTTTTAGTATAATATTTTTTATTACATGTGAATAACATATAACAAATATTTTTACTGTCAATTGATGTTATTAAAATTAAATATGTGACAACCATTAAATAACAAAAATAAAAAATGTTTTCATTTTTATTATGTTTAAAATAAGGTTGTATATTGTAAACAAATATATATAATAAAGTTCAAAGAAAACATTTTTTTAATATAAACGTAGTCTTTAAAAAATTTTAACAAAATTAGTGATCCAATCACTCCATTTTTATTGTATAAACGCAATATTTATTACAAACACTATATTTCTATGGCACTAAACGCAATGTTTAAGAAATCATCATATATATATATGTATAATTCAAATATTTGTAATAAATGTCAAGTCTTTTTTACATAAATTATAAATTTATGCATTTTAATTTTATTACATAAAACACAATAAATTTTTTATTGTCTAATATATTATTTAGATTGTCGACTTTTGATTTTCTTGTATTCTTTTTTCTAAAACCATTATTTTTAAAATATATTCATAAACCTTTTAGTTTTGTAACATTTATATTTTTTATTTTTTATTTTGTTATGACTTATGATCTTCTATCTCTTTGAAGGGTGAGAGTTATATGAGTGTCTTTCATGTCTCTATTACACTTTTTTCTTTCAATTATTATTTGTCATATTACTTTGATTATTTACTTTTAATTTTCTTGTATTCAATTTATTTAAAACCATTACTTGTTAAAATTTATTAATCAAACCTTAGATTTTGTACCATTTATATTTTTTTACTTAATTTTAATTTTCTTGTGATTTATGATTTTATATCTTTTTTAAGGGTGAGAGAATACGAGTTGTTCTCATGTTTCTTTTACATTTTTTTCTTCCAATTCTTATTTGTCATATTATTTGAATTATTAACTTTTGATTTTCTTATATTCATTTTCTTTAAAATTATTATCTATTAAAATTTATTGATCAAATCTTTGGTTTTATAACATTTATATTTTTACCTTTTGATTTTTTTTTGTGACTTATGGCTTTTCATATTTTTTTTAGGATGAGAGGTTATATGAGTGCCTTTTATACCTCTATTACACTTTCTTCTTTAAATTTTTATTTGTCATATTACTAATTATGAGATTTTATTTTTTGTTGTGTTTTTGTTTTGATAATTTTATAATTTTGTAATGTTTTAATCATGTTCCATGTTTTTTCACATTTCATGTTTGTTTATTAGTCAATTGATGTATTTTTTTAGTGTTTTTATTTTTCTTATAATTTTTACTTTTTTACCATGATCTTTTTCTTTTTTTCATTTTGCAGTTTAAGCTTGACTATTAACCATTACTAATAATGAGGTTTGTTAATTATTATATTTTCATTTTTATAATTTTTAATTTTTTAATCATGATTTATGAATTTTGTTTTTTGCATTTCAAGTTTGTTTCTTAGTCAATTAGTGTATTTTTTATTGTTTGTATTTTTATAATTTTTTACTCTGTTTCTTTTTTTTTTTAATTTAAACTTGGCTATTAACAAATTAGAATATACAACAATTGATAATTATATCTTAAAAAGATTAATGGATTCATAATTTGTATTTATTGATAGTGAGATGTATATAATTTTAAGACTAAACATGTTAGTACAAAAACAATGTTGAATGATGAAAAGGTATATATGCTTTTTTTTTCTATTTTTGTGATGTCATTTTCCTATCTCTAATTTATTTTATTAGTTTTTAGTTAAATAGTAGGCATGAATATTGTTTTTTATTTTTTATTTATGACTTTTGATTTTTTTTATTATATATCTTTTATGTATTTTATTTTTTAGATTTTTGGTACGTACCAAGTTACTAATCATAAGATTTTTATGCATCCTCTTTATGTTTGAATCATTATAATTTTCTATTTTTTACATGATCTGTGATTGATTTTTTGCTGATCAACTATATATTTGGCATTTAAGACACATTTAGAATCCATTTTTACTTATGGCTTTTGAATTTCTTTTTTAAAGTGATAAATAAATTGTTACAATAAAGATCGAAATGTTTATTTTATCAATTGTATCATAATTTATCATTGTATTTTAAAAGCACGAATTGATATTTATTTTCAAGAAATTAAGTTAACATAAAATTTACTTATTTTTCTATGTTTTTTCATTGCGTTTAATTTTTTACAAAAATTTTAAATTTTTACTAATTTATGAGTTCATTGACAATAGAAGGTGATACTAAAATTTCAATGTTTTAATAAGATTTTTATTTC